CTCTTTCTTTCACTATATCATTGTCACCCAAAGACCCTCCCAAAGTTAGAAAAAACTTAGACTCCAAAAAAGCTTGCAGCCTGCCAGTTTGTGTGCACAGCTGTCTTGAATACAGAAGACCATCTTCACAGGTTCAGCACAGGCACATACTGGTGTTTTTGTGGGATTCTCATTTGTCTTGCAGCTGCCAACCTCAGGTAAATATCTAATTTCTGAGGCTTGTACACAGTTTTGGCATGTCAATGAGTGTATTTGTGTCTGTGTGTGTGTTACATCTTGTTCACTAAGCGGGTGGCAGCTGAACCTGTTGTGTGGTGTATGCAGCGACTACTGGCTGAGTTATGCTGTAGCCTCTTTGGTGCTGACCATAATTTATCTTTGATGCTGCAAATGAATAGTGATGCCTTAATTATCCCTGTATATATCAGGAGATGGTGACTATTGATATAATATTTATACTGTCATTTAATAACATGTTGGACGTAGTACAGACAAGCTTAAATGTTAGTTATCTACTTTATTATCTGTATATAAAGTTGTGAAATATCCTCAGAGAACTCAAATGCATTTGATATTAAATTCTCTAAGAGATATGACAATCATGTAGAGTAACATGAATACTCGGCTCAAAATAAAATGCCAGTGTGTGTCCTCTGTAACACTGCATTATAATTGTCAAAATAAATAATTTGACAATTTACTAATTTGTTGCTTTTAGTGAATTTTCATACACACACTCTCCTCCTGGCGACATGTATTTGGCCAGAGAATTGCTCCACTGGACCAGTAACACCTGTTTCGTTTCCATCCGTTTAGTCAACTTTTTTCAGTCTGGTAGCTTGTGATGTTTACTTTAGCTCTGAATGTGACTTTTGAGATAGAGGCGCATCTCATAGACCTGTTACCATGACAACATTGGAGCTCTGCTTGTCATGAATGTGTTGGCAGCATACAGATGCACTCATCTAATTCAACTTTGAAAGATCTGCCAAGTTCTCCTCTTTGCTGTGACCAGTTAGAAGAAGTCAGATAATGTATTGATTGTTTCTCAGATATTTCACACATATAAACAATTTTTTTTTCCTTTTGCCCAGAATTGAAACTATTTCGGTGTTTTAGGTATGAGGGCCTGCTTAGTTTTCCTTTGCTTATTGGCAGCCACACTTGCCCTGTCTGTGAGTAGCAAAGTTATTCTTTTTCTTACTGTGACATTTATTTTGCATTTGAGATCTACCAGACAAAGGATGTGATGTGATATTTGCTTCTGATCATTATTAATTATTTCTGTTGTTTCCAGGTAAAAAGTAAACACCTTAGAAAACATCATGGAGTGCGTAAGACCTCAAATACAGCCAAATTAAAGGTAGAGCAGGGCACGAAACAGCTTTTTAAAGTTTTATTTGAAACAAGATAATTTCATACTGCAAATGTATTATTTTTCCTTTTTCATGATTAAGGACGTTATCAGAGGGGAAGCCAGCCTGCCAAACATCTTACCCACTTTAGTCACATTTGAGGCCAGCAACCAGGAGCAGGAAGATGAGGAGTTTAGCACTGAGGGAAATGCAAGCCGTAACAAGGAGGGTGAAGAATTTGAGGTGACCGGAAGAAACGAGAAAAGCACTGCAGTCCTGTTGAGTGAGGAGGAACTACTAGACCTCCTGAAGAAAGAGGCAGAAGAAGAGGAAGAAGTGGAAGAACAAGAGCCAGGTAAAGAGGAAGTGGAGCCACACAACGGCAAGATGGAGTCTGGTGAGGCTGTGGGGAGCGATGAGGATGAGGAAGCTGTGGGAAAGGACAAGTTGCATGTCAACTTGGAAATGGAGGAAGATGCTAATGAAGTAACAGATGAGGAGGAAGAGAAAAAAGAGAGTGTGGAAGATGAAGTAGAGGAGGAGGTGGAGAAGATGTCACACAAGAACGAGAAGGAAGAGATTCTCAGCAAAATGGCTGACACAGAAGAGAAAGTTGCACTACTAGAAGAAATAGAAGGCAGCACAGAGTCAGAGATCCAAGCTGAGCTTGATTATGCTGATGGTGGCATCTTACAACCAATACAGATTGTATCTACTAAAGAAAAATCCCACACTGATGAGATCCAGCCTGTTTCTAAAACTGATGTTCCAGATGTTCAAAAGAAGGAAACCAGTGAGAAAGAGCAGCCCACCATAGCTAATGACTATGAACAAGACATACAAAACACTGAGGTAGCAGAGAGCAAAGAGGCATCTGATCAGGAGAAGATACAAGAAGACAAAAATGACAAGGACAAAGATTCACAAACTAAATTTAAAGAAACAAGTCCAGCTGTGGATCATCTAGAACCAAAGAGCAGTACAGAGCTCAAATCAAGATCTCAGGTGGCTGAAACAGAGGAAGAGAAAAATAAGAATGACAGTGGAAGTCACACTAAGAGAAAGAGAAGGAAACAAAAGAAGAACAAGAGAGCGAGGAGTCATTCTCCACAAAGGGAGGAAACACAATCTGGACAGAACCAGGGCCAACGGGATCCTCAGGAGTCTGAGAGTAGCCACACTGACAATGCAGTCCAGAAAGCAAAGAGGAGAAGGGCAGGAAAATGGGTAGATTGTACCTAATTACATTATTTAAATCTGCTATAATGACTGCTTTTTTTTAATTAACAATGAATCACATGACTACTTTGCTTGTTGTGAAGGAACTAACCTGAGTCTACAGTTCCCTTCAGCTTTATAGCATTTCTTTGGCTTATTGTTTTGGTTTTATGGCTTGTGATAGTTTTGATTAATTCTCATCACTTTTCATGCCATCAACCAACAGACAGCTATTTACAGCAGCTCAGCACCAAACTGCAGACAAAGTTAACAACTAACTGGTGAGCAAAGCCGGGTACTGAGCAGCTAAAGAGCTGGATCCCTGAAGAGTAGGTGACGACCAAAACAGAGATAAAAGTAGAGTAAATACAGGACTTACATTTGCCAGGTGACCAGAAACATGACACCAAATGAATGATAACTTAGCTCCACATCTGCTGGATGAGAAAATAGACAAGTGATTGCCAGCTTTTCATTAGGGAAATGTGACCTTTATGTACTTTTTACATGCAATCTGGTGTGATGCCATCGATAAGCTGGCTGAACCATTTTAATTTGTATTTTCCAGGGCCCATTAGTAGGAATGAATCCAGTGCAGATAAAAGCTACTGTGGATCTCTACCCCAGCTCCAGGCCCTCTGTTGGTGGAGGCATTCATCACCCAGAAGCCCCTGTTGGTTGGTTGGAGGAACTGCAGCTCTCACACTCACCATACTCACCAATGCAACAGTCAGAAAGTCAGAAAGGGGAATCTGCTGACGAGATCAGTTTGCTAAAGCTTCCGCATGAATAGTGTTGCTCTGCTTCACGGCCACTACATCAACACAGCTCTGCAGGCTTAAGGAGTGAATAAGAGAGATCAAGTTGAATGTAATCACTGTACAAACTCAAATGGCAGTGGAATGTAGGGGGTGATGTGTAGCTGTTACAGGTTGTTAGTTTGAAGTTCTCACTCTGTAAAATAAAACCAAGTCATCATTAAAATACTTTAAATACTTTTAAAAATTCAAATGGGTAAACAGTTATTGTGATGTATTCTTTTCTTTTCTTCTAGACCCATGTGACAATTTCCGCTGCAAACGTGGAAAGACATGTAAACTCGATGCAGACAAAAAGCCAGGTTGTGTGTGTCAGGAACCGTCACAATGTCCTCCCAGTGTGAACGAGTTTGATCATGTAAGTATGCACAACCTGCTGACGGCTAAACTTAAGCTACTGTTTGCATCTGACTTTCTTCATTCATCTTCCATTTAGGTTTGTGGGACAGACAACAAAACCTATGATACATCATGTGAACTCTTTGCTACTAAATGCAGCCTGGGGGGCACCAAGAGAGGGCGCAGACTCCATCTGGACTACACTGGGCCGTGCAAATGTCAGAGTTAACCACTGTACAAACCTATGGTTAGGACAACAATTTTAGTGCAGTCCAAGAAAAAAATAACATGCCCCTCTCTTTCTCCCTTTCTGTCCTCCTCTCTCTCAGTAATATCTCCATGTGTGGACACTGAGCTGGTCCAGTTCCCTCTCCGAATGAGGGACTGGCTGAAAAATGTGCTGCTGCAGCTCTATGAGTATGACTCCACGTCCCCTGGCTTCCTCACTCCTAAACAGCGTTATAGAGTAAGATTCAATGCTCAAAATGAATTGATAGACTTGCTAGGATTTTCAGGCACTTTACAAATGACCTTACAATCTTATAAACTGTATTTTCAACAGGTTAAAATGCTGCGTAATTTATTAGCAGTTTAGCTCCTATTATTTGTATCATTGCTCAGAAAATCACATACATGGAGCACCTTCTGAAAAAGGAAACTATTTTATGTTTTAGATAAAAAGGCAAGCAAACTGTGGTATTCTGTACTCCGTAGGTGACAAAAATCTTTGAGAGTGAGCGGCGCCTTCGTGCTGGTGATCACTCCGTTGAGCTCCTCGCACTAGACTTCGAGAAGAACTACAACATGTACATCTATCCAGTGCACTGGCAGTTTGCTCAGCTGGACCAACACCCATCTGACAGGTAGAGTTTCTGTATTAATAGTTATATTTAATTTGTTAAACCATTATTTTATATTACAAATTAGATAGTATATGGTGTAAAATTATCAATGGTCTCTTCTCTGAAGGTTCTTGTCCCACTCTGAGCTGGCCCCACTCAGGGTCCCTCTGGTGCCAATGGAGCACTGCACCTCCCGCTTTTTCCAGGAGTGTGATGCAGACAGGGACAAACAGGTGTCCTTTAAGGAGTGGACTTCCTGTTTTGGCATCAAGAATGGTAAGAGCAGCATCATATTAGTATTTATCCAATTTTTATTTATTTAATGTGTTTTTACTTTAAATGTAAAAATGGATAACAATAGTTCATATTGTACACAACAGTTTGTTGGTTTAGTGGGTATTCAGTGAAAATACTTACACATAACTTGTTTATAGCTGTCAGCTGCATTTTTGTAACATAGCAAACCATATGGCAAATGTTATTGTCTGTCCTATGAATGTGTTACCATGTGTTTTCTCCACAGAGGATATGGATATCAACCTGCTTTTCTGAGCTTCTTTATGTACTTCATCTACTACACAAGCTTATGGGAGCTGCTCCCATAGTGCACCTCGAGACAGAAACTTTGTAAACCTCTGTTTTAAAAGGAATTTAAAAAAAATCATTTTATCTCCTGCTATGAAAGACAAATTTTGCTGGTCACTGCTATTATTTTGTGTCAGTCTGTTCCTGAACATTTGGATCTTTGTTGTCTAATTTAGACAAAGCTGCGAGAATACATTTATCAGGCTATAAATAAGAGTTAGCTGATTTGTATCATTAAATTGTTTTCTAATGCATTCCAAACAGGGGACTAGTATGCAGCATCTCAGTGGAGAAAAGACAAAAGACACTGTATAGTGTACAGTGTCAGACTTTAAGATGACTGTGGTTTGTACGTTAGTGTGAATAAGGATAAATTTAGACCCTTGCTAGAAAATTTTAATCAATAACTGCAGTGCTTAATTCAGTAGCAAATGCTGTAAATGTTTGTCTTTGCATCTTCTAATTGTATGTGTAATTAAAGCTTTATGGACTTCAATAAACTGCATGACAAAATGATACCCTTTAACCCACAGGTGGCTGGTCCTTTAGGTCCCCAGGGGCCCCAGCTACTGTTTCCCAATCAGGGCGACCATATTAAATTTCATGTTAATTATGATTCTTTACAGCCTTGAAATAAAGTTATTGCATCATACTGGTGGACCCCAGTCAACCCCTAAAGGCCCTGGGACACATCAGTTTGTGCTTGAATGTGATGTGCTGTTCGTTGGTCAGTTTTTCTGAGGCCACCGACGTGACAATATTACTTCTGCAACAATGGATATGAGGATGCAAGTCACTGATGCCTAGTTTAGGTTTGCCACATAATCCAGAATAATGGTTCCCTGTAAGGTAACAGAGTAAAAATAGCCAACAGGCTTGGTCATGATGATTATGGTGACTTGTTGTTTGGAGAAAAAGCACTGGATTCTGATTGGACCTTCCTTTGTGGTCACTGAATGTGACTCTCTATATAAGCAAAGAGAGGCACAACGCTTCACCTGTTGACTGTCTGCTGTCACTCAGATAAAACATGTTCTGCATACTGTGGGTTATCTTTCAAATCTTGGCTGTTGTGGAGGGAGGTGTGTCTTCAGCAAGTGATGAGGCCAAAGGGGGAGTGAAAAATAATGGAGGAGCAGCAGCTGGAAACAATGTCAAGCCTGGGGATCAAAATGGGGCTCCTCTGAATGGAGAACCCATCGTTGCGCGCTTAGTCCAACTCGGTGGGTCATTTTTTATCCAGCCAGTCGGGAACCCCGTAGGCCAAGCTCCCCTGCAGCAGCTAATTCCCATTGGAGCTTTCCAACAAGATGGGGCATTAATTGTGGGACAAACAGGCGGAGCCAATGTGAATCCACAGGGACAGACGGCTCAGGCTGCCAGGGGTGGGCCGGTAACGCTGCTTGCTCTGCTGCCACAGAGAAATGCTGGAGGAGACGCACAAGTGCAGCTGATCTCATTGGCCGGGCCGAACAACCAGCAACAGCCGGGCGCTGCTGGTGGGAATGCAGTCGGCAAAGTGAGGTTTCAGCGCTCAGTGGCAGCTCGCCTCAGGAGAACGCAGTCTCCAATGATGAAGGTGATGACAGCTGAAGACGAGGAAGAATGCTCAGGGATGGAGACGGAGGAGAACACAGCAAAATGAGGCCACACACCTCTCAGACAACACATCCACCTCCTGATTCACTCTGTCACCCTGTCACACTACTATCTGTTCATGGTCGAATGTTAACTATATAAATTAATACCATAATAAATAACCAATAAATTATTTAAATCAATTGTTCACTTTTGAATCTTTATTCACATATATACAATACATGTTTGATTTAACATCATTTAAACCCCAAAATATGTATGTCAACGTGTGCCTGAGCAAACCACCAGTGTCATGGGTGTGTCTCCTGTGATGGCAGATGCTTTTATGTGACAAATATGTGCAGATATCTGTTTACAGAGCGTTGCGTGTAACATGGTCATTTGGGAATCAGTATGATAAACATCCTAAACAAATTACACACATCATAGCAGGATTCACAGAGTAACAGAGTCTTGTTAAAACCTGTGCCATAATGAAAAGAAAACATCATTAGTCTGACTGCTAATTTACTGGCTTCTAAACTACTCACATGCACATACATTTACAGGAAACAGCAGTGGAAAGTAAATAAGCACATTTACTCAAGTACCGTACTTACTATAAGTACAGTTTTGAGGTGTCTGCACTTTGCTTGAGTATTTTCATTTTGTGTTACTTTGACTTTGCTAGATTTTAGAGGCAAATATTGTACTTTGTACTCCAGTACATTTATTTGATAACTTTAGTTTGTTTTCAGAAACAAATGAATAAAACAAAATACAGTATAACCACAAGACTCTAGTGATCTCTGGGGGGGAATTTATGAGCTACACAGCAGCATGTAAAATACTTCAAATTATAACCATAGAAGCTCCGCCTTTGCCAGCAGGGACATTAAATATAATTCACACAACAATGCATCAATAATTTTAATTGAATACTAAGATGTACTGTATATTCATGTGAAATGTACCATTCTGCACTATACTTTTGGTACTTCAGGTATATATTGATATTAATACTGTTGTCCTTTTGAATGCAGGACTTTTACTTGTAACAGAGTATTTTTATACTGTGGTACTGGTATTTTTATCAAAGTAAAGAATCTAATACCTCCACCACTGACTGAAAATATCATTTGTCCTGACATTAAACCCCAAACAGCAATAAGAATGTTTCTTCATTGGAACTGTATGATAGGGTGTAATTAGCATAAAGCTCCAGACTAGACTTCCACAGAGGCTGTTTACCAGGTCTGCTGTGAGCCGCCCACTGGGCAGGAAAAAAAAAACTTTCCCAGACAGACTCGGTGGGTGATACCGTACACAGCCAACCACATGGGAGTGAATGTAACACTCACAAATAACTTCAGAAAATGTGCTGGTGAAACATGACAGACACATATCCATCAGTCATATATGATCTTTTCAGAAATTAAAAGTGTGGTGTTGTGTTTCTGGGCATCAAGGTAGAGCTGGTAATATCATACTAGTTGCTAGTCCTTTTATGGCTGGGGCAAGTAAAAATCTGCTTTGAGACATATATAAATTCATCAAAAATGAATGTCAAAACAACCTCACTCCAAATCACAAGTTGTCATTCATACATGCTGTTTTCCTCGAGTCACCAGCAGTGTTCTGTCTACCGGGTAAAATGTTTAACAAAGTTTAAATGTTTTTCATGGTGTCTCCTACAAAGCACTTGGTGATGATGTCAGCTGTTTGCCTGCTGTGACCACAACCCACAACATTTAGATGGTTTGTGGCATCTAGTTTAGTAACTTCCACAGACCTCCACCAACCCACCTCAAGACGCTGAATCACTCTGTTATTGATTGTGTTCACTCAGCGGCACTGAGAACAATGTTAGATGGTTGAATGGTGTGAATTGTCTCTAAAGACAGGCAGCTCACTGGCTTAGATTCTTTAAATCTCATATTGTAGAAAGAGTTATTAGATCACAAGTTTTCATGACACACAAGTGACAAATATAGTTTGTCATCAAGTCTGTGTTCTCCTCTCTAATTGGTTCATAATAATCTCTGGGACCGATAAAAGGTGTTTGACAGTCAGAGAGCAACTGTAGTCCTCCTTGGCACATACCATTTGAAGGAAGAGCAAAAATATTAGGTATGTACGGTGAATTTTTTTAACAATGTGATCATAGTTAATGTGTAATTCCTATTTCCAAACAGTATTTAAATTCTATGAGTCAAATGTTTGTGCTCTGTTTTTTACAGGTTTCAGGCTGCAAAATGAAGCTTCTTCTCCTTACAACATTTGTAACCATAATTTGCTATGTGAGTACTATCTATCTATCTATCTATCTATCTATCTATCTATCTATCTATCTATCTATCTATCTAATATTTTCTGTTCATTCATTACAGGTCAATGCAGGCAAGGTAAAAAAAGACATTCAGCCTAATAATTTATGCATGGTTAGAACCATAATCCAAATGATTTCTTATTACTTTCACTTTCTCCCTCTGTGCAGACAGCCCGGCTGTTGGCAGCTCTGAGTGCTGCTGGAGTGGCAAACAGAGCAAACCCTGGGTTGATGGTTGGAGGCCTGAACCCACCCATGGTAGCTGGTGGTGGAGCAGGTCTCATTGGGCAGCCCCAGTTTGTACAGGTCAGTCCACTAGGTTGTCAGTTTGCTGTATATACCTCAGTTGAGCAAAATTACACATTCATCAGTATGTTTGAAATCAATTGACATGTTTATTCTAAAATTTTATTTCAGCTCTTTAACATATCGTTTTAAATATAGGTTAAAATAGTAAACAAAGATGAAAACTAGATTTCATTTTTATTTTTAAATTCATATCATGTATGTGCATAGGTAAAGTTACTCTGATTGTTTTTATTGAGTGCAAAATATACCACAAGATGGCGCTCTACTGTTGAACGCACAAGCCACCTGATGTGAAGAATTACACTATTTCTACGTTTCACAGGTTGTTCCTGAAGTTCCTGTTTATTCTGTGCAGGCTCCTCTTCCCAGGGTGTACTCTGTCCCTGCAGTCACTACGGTGAGTTTGGCACATAGCAGTGTCAAACAACACACATCCCTACTCATGTTGTATTCTTTCATACATTACAGTAGAACGCCAGACAAAAAAGATCTGATGGTTGTCTTTTTAGTTCCAGCAACCTTTTATAGGAGTCCCTCAGATGGCACCAATAAATCAACCTCAGCAGCCTGTGGGGGTAAGAATATTAATAATAGGGATTATTACAAACCAGTGTTACAAATGCACAACATCCTTTTATGACCTGATGATTTGTAGAAATGTAACATTTCACTACAGTCACTATATGTTGCTGTCTTTGTTTAGGGGATGCCAGTTGGTGCCATGCAGCAGCAGGCTCCCCTTCAGGTCGATCCACTCAGGAGATTCAGGGTAAGAAACAAGTACTGTAAGTATATCTAATGTATTCGAATATTGATGAAAACTACACTAGCTTATTGTTGTTCTTCGACTCTCCAGCGTCAGGTAATGAAACAGGACAACTTAAAGGCCACTGTGGACACTCAGGTATGACTGTCTAGTTCACATGCAAAGAAAGCTTAAGGGAGACACTTTGGAGACAGAATCACCAGTTATGTCCAATATGAGTGTGTTGTTTTTCATCTTGCTGTGAAAGGTTCATTCTGTTGATGGTTTCTTTAAGTGCATGCTCTTTATTTTCTCAGATTCCAGCGCCTACTGACACAACAACAACCACTGTGTGTGATGAAAAGGGTCATCATGAGGATAATTAAGATGAAATATGACAATAAAAGTTGATTTTAATGATTTTGTCATCAATCATAAATCATCATGGAAGCTGTGTTATGTACTGTACATGTGCACTTTCCATTCAAAATAAATGACACTTAAAACCAACATTTATTTGATAGAGTCGTTTGATTTGTACAGTCAGAAAACACTTATCAATCAACTACAGTCTGAAATGATGACTAAAAAAAAAGATATTATGAAACCATAACTCAGATGTCTTGTTGAGGTTGCCTATATAACTGTGCTAAATAAAACCAGACCCAGTGGTTTGATATAGATATTGACTTGCGGTAAATTTGATTGTATCTTGTACTTGGATGACATCAGTGCCTTTTTGATGAAGCTAAATTACAATGCCCATTATTTGGCTTTACATAGGATTGAACATATTGTCAAGAACTCAGCTTGCTTCACTCAAGATCACTCAACCAGGCACAGGCTATTTAACTCAAGAGCATTCACCTGTATGCGGTTAAAAGAAGGTGTTGTAGTGTGAGATTGTGCCGTTGGTGAAGGCCGGGTGGCTGAAAATGGCCTGTATTCTTGCAAAATAATGTGATTTCTTGTCGGTGAGCGTGGTAATTTACAATTATTAAATAATGCTATTGAGCTAATGCACCATTTTTTTCGGAATGTGGTGGAATCTGTACATAAAAATGTGGTCAAGATAGAATTGTAATAAAGGGAAGTTTTGTGGGTTTCACTTGCTGCAGATGAAGTTAACTCAAAAATCTTATTTCATAAAACAGTTGTTTGGGCCTGAAGTATGTAACTGTCCCGATCTGAGCTTTGCTGTTGCAGCATGAACGTTTGTTGGCCCTTTTTCATGGAAGACATTTTGACATGTCACAGTAGAAGGGGCACAGGTGTAAATCGTATACTAAATTATGCCTTTAGCTTCACAGCTCCAGTGCTGAGTGTGCTGCACCCCTTCCTATTCAAATACAGCACCTATGACATTTAAACTGTTGCACAAGGAGTCCAGCTTCTCTAGACAAAAACGTGCTTTTCCAGTCCTTTCCTGTGTATCCCCGACATAAATACTAACGCAGTCAGCCATTAATAACAATGATTTCCGTTGACTTTGAGTATGATCAACAACTCGTGACAAATGTCTGATCATAAGCTCCTGTTTTCCTTTTTTTTTCATGACATACCAAAATTCCTGTTGGCCGTATGTCTGTAATTACACACTGAAGCTCTACACTACAACATATAAACTTTATTTACAAGAACACATAAGAAGTGCATGATGTACACTAGCCTTCCAAAAGTAAAGAGCATTGAATTCTGGCCTGTAAAAGCAAAACAGTCCATGAAAAGCTGGTAGTTTCGTAATCCCTGTATGTGGAAAGTGCATTCAATTTTAAATTTGCAGTCTAATGAGTTTTTGTACCAACTTGACTCAGACCATGTGATGGTGCTTAGAGACATGACTTACACATAATAACACACTTACCTGCCCAGTGTTGCAAGTGTCTGAGTCTGATGCTATTAGAAATGTCTGTCACACTGACCACATATTGTCTGGATGGGTTGGCGATGGACTATGACGGCTCCCATGGAGAGAATTTAAAAGAGAAAAGGAAAAGGTGAGGAAGCAGGTGCACAGAGGAAAGCAGAGCCAGAGAAACGGTAAGAAGAGTTGGTGACACTCCTGTTCCTTTTTTTTTCATCAGGATATTTAAATTCTTATTAAGACTGAACATATTTTTAGACACTACAGGACACCATGAAGCTGCAAACTGCCCTTCTGTTGATTTGTCTATTTATGACAACTTTTGCTCTGCCAGTGAGTGATGTCTTTACTTTATTCAATTATAAATTGCTCATGCTGTCCCATTTAAAATAACAGTGGAAGTGTACCCTTTTTTTTTACAGTTGCAGATTGGAATTCTTGCAAGCAACAGCAATGAGGTGAGTAGCTTTTATATTTATTGGTTTCCAGCTCTTTGTCACTTAGGTGCAGAGTTAACAGCTTTAATCCAAAACCTTTGTGTATTCAGATCCTGAGGGTGAATGGACTAACTTTTGGAGGACAAACACAGGTAGTGCAAGTGCACCAACACCTTTGTGCTTATTCATTTACTACCTTGAGTTACAGGATTTATCAACTGCACACTATTATTATGTACCTTCTTTTGTCAGATTTAAAGTTGTGGACTAAAAGTAACATGTAAACTGAACAAAATCCCCTTCTTCTGCAGATGTTATCTCCGTATGTGCTGCAGCAGCAGCCTGAGGTGTTGCTCACTCCACAGTTCGTGAACTTTAACCCACAGGTGGCTGGTCCTTTAGGTCCCCAGGGGCCCCAGCTACTGTTTCCCAATCAGGGCAACCAGCTAACCCCTGTGGTTGTCCCCAACGGCCAGCAGGAGCAGTTTGGGCCTCCACAGGACCCCAATGCTCCTAATGTCCATCAGCAGGCCCAAAACCCTGTGGGTATAGCATTACATCTATCATAGCTATAGTTACTGGAGCTGCTACAAAACTCCTTGCAATCATATGGAGAAATTAATTAATTTAAATCCCCTTTAAATGTTTCCACAGTATCAGTACTCTCCTTATGGATATCCTCAGTTTTCCAGGCAGCAGGTATGGAGTCAAACATCATGACTCGTTTGCAAATGTCATCATCTTTATTTAGATACTCGCTGGAGTTTTGAATTGATGTGATGAATCAATGCTCCACAGGGATTCACTTACTATGTGGCTCCATACGGCTATCCCCAGCAGAGGAATCCTGGGGTACTGCCGCCCAACAACGGTCAGCAGAACCTGGAGAGACCCACACAGAGACCACAGCTCCCTCTGCAGGTGAAACATAAAATGACATAAAGTAAAGAAAAGTCCAAAGGTTCCTGTTTCTCTGTGCTTATTGAGCAAATACAAACTAAAAACATTAATGTTCTGAACTTTTCAAGAGTGATTCTGAAACATTTGAGTGTTCAGGACACATTAGTCAAATATTTACCTATATATTTGGCACTTTGAATTAAGTTTTAGAACCTATGCAGACAATCACTCACAGACAAGAGTTAATGATAATAATAATGCAACAGGTGCTGCGTCATGACTATATGCATGTGGTGACTGTGATGCAATGACAACCATCTGCAATGTTTACACTCTGTCTGCCCAGCTTCGCGGTGGACGTGTCATTTCATCCCAGTCCTATCTGAGTGTCGAGTGATACCTTTAGTGGTTTATTCATGGAGGTTTAATGTCTCAGTACAACTGATGATTTTGTTTTTCCTGAAAGTTGTCAGTCCTTTTTATTTTAGTTTTGTTTTTATATTTAGCTTCATCTTATTTGTCTGTTAATATCTGTGGGTTTAATCTCAAATTTAAAATATGTAGCTAAATACTAATTAGTGTATATGCTTAGTAGTTGATTTTAATCATCTAATTCTGTGCATATCATCCCATTTTAGCAGGCGTCCCAGCCTAAGGTGCAGACAGACAAAGTGAGTTTGCTGTGTAGCCTCTTAATTTTTGTGAACCAAGGCAACGAGTGTGCAACAGTTGAGTCTCACTGCTGTGTTTTTCTAACTTTCAATGTCAGACATGGGGGACACAGAAGGAGTCCACTACAATTCCTCCTGCTCCTCGTGGTGACACATCTGGCCCTGGGGTTGATGAGGTAGGATTTTATAAAGTGACATGCAACTTTTAAAGCACACACACAAGCTTTGGTCTCTGTTACACATCATTGTCATTTACTGAGCACCATTTGATTTGAATAATCAAATGTTTTTCTTAATGTTTCCCCAGGGTAACTCTAACTTCCCCTTCCTATTCGAGCCTTAGATGCCACCTGGAAAATAACAACAAGACAATTAGAGAAAAAAAAAACTAATTTCCATGTGTTTGGCTGGGGTCACTGAACCGTCATTCATCTGCACAGTGTACTGAAGTGTGCCATTCTTCTAAATCCAATTTAATGATCTTCAGTTCTTTGTATAAAAAGAGAGAAACTGTCTTGCTTGTGTCAGAAACATGCTTTTCCAACAATATTTCAAATAAAACACTTTACTAAAGATACTTGTTAAAGAATTTTATTGTGGTACATAGAAGTTGTGTGATACAGGAAAATGTCAAATAAATGGTTTCCCAGGAAATACCACAGAAAAATGAATCATAAGCTCCTTTAAGACTTTATGAAGTCGAAGAATAACATTTGGAACTGCTAGTTTCATCCTAAGAAAAGTGGGACAAAAGACTAGTTAGTATCAGTCTGAAAATTAACGTCCAATAATCAAAATTAATTTCTCTTTCATTAATGCCTTCACCTTTTATAGTTACCAGCCACTTTCTTCTGAATCCTCTTCCTCTTCTCCAATGAGCTGAGCAGGTGTTGTCTTGAAAATGAGAAAGTTGTTCAAATTAACCACACAAGCCTCATGTTACAGAAATGTCAGTAAATGTGCTGAAAATGATTTTCAGGGCAAACTTACACGACTGAAAACTCCGTACTCAATGGAGACTTTGTTCTTCAAAAAGAAAAAGAGATATGATGATAATTGTTATGAAGACATCCTTATATAATAAAACAATGTACAGTAAACACTGACATAATCTTTATTCTGTGATAATAAACATGATTATTACCGGCATTGTGGTGTTGTACATGAGCTTGACATATTGCTGGAATTGAGATGAAGAGATACAAAACGTTATAATGTAGGTGTCTGTACTGTGAAACTAAAGATCAAACCAAGCAAAGCATAAAACTGAAGTCCAGACAAACCAGTTAGATAATAAAGTTTAGAAATGAAATAATACCCCGCTCTTTGGAGGTCCATGTTTTCCTCCCTGTAAAAAAAAAGCAACATCAACAATCAAACTGAGTTGTGATAATTTAATCATTGTTGTAGTGATGAAGTTACTGTTTATACAGTACCTCAAGATGGCGAGGTGATCTTCCTCCAAACTATGGATAAATTTTCAACCATTAAAATCAACAAAAATAATCTTTATTTTCTTCTTTAACTTATTCTTTTTTTAATACAATGTAACTGTGTCAAACTGCATCTTCAGTCACCCACCTTTGGCATCAGGAACACATTCTCCCCCTGTGAAAATTTCACACCGAGGGTTAGTGAAATTGTAATACTTCACAAAGTGGTGCAGTCTACAACAGAAATAAAATTGTTACTAAGTAAAAATGTTATGTTTACCTTGTTCAAGGCCACACTGGTGACATTCTAGGGATGAAAGCCACATGTTTAGTTGAAAATGTAAAGACAATCCGGTCAAACATACAACGTACTGTATGTATTAATAAAAACATATTACCTGAACTGTGACACCGTCAACCTGAAAACAAATTAAAAAGGAAATCTGAGGTTTTTCAAAACTGCTCAGGTACATTTAAAATGTATTACATTGAGCGACAACAGTAGACCTGCTGTACCTTGAATGTAGGGGAGAATGTCATGTTCTAAAACAAGAAAGGAACCAATGTTATATCATATTTAGTTTTAATGAAGAACAAATCAAATAATTTAGATGTAAGTAAGTAATGTTTACTTGCAAATTACCTTTAATGTGGAAGAGTTTTTTGATGTTAAGACCCACTTAGTCTAAGTACATTTTGGGGAAACTTGTCTCTGGGAGGTTCATTGGGGTTCCAAGAATGCTCGCCTGGCCCAAAAGGACGGCCTATCTGTGTGATGCACAGATAAAGTTCTGCCTACAGTAAATGGCTTAACATTACATCTTTAATACCCCTGTTTCTTTTTATTCATAAAAAGAACACAGCACAGACACAATTACATAAGAATAAGGATGCAAATAAACAAACTTTATTTATCTAACATACTGTATTGCAAAGTGAGAAATTATGCCTATACCTTCCAACAGCTATGATCTAAAATGTGTTATCTTGTTTGCATAGTCCTTACACTAACAAAACTTTAAAAGCAACAGATTAAGATTATAGAGGGAGCTTATATGTGTCTATTTCCTGTTACCTTAAAGCCATCATTTTTACCCTGCCATGGCTTCCTGGAATCTGCCTGAAAAATAAAGTTGAACAAAATTAAAAATGACCAGTTTAAAATGTCAAGCATTAATTTTCCTGTGTAATTATATCACCCAAAAATATAATACTCACACTAGCAGCTAATGCCGACAGAATTAAGGCTGCGATACACAGTTGCTGCATTGCTTTTGAAGAACCTACAGGATTTGCAAATTGAAAATGAATCCAGCTGAATTATTCCCTAAAGCTGAACAGACTGTATAGCATCTGCTGTGTGTTTCCTCTCACCTGCGAAGTAAAGGTGTATGCGACCTGTCAGTCACTGGTACTTATATCAGATATCAGGTATTGAGAAACACCACACCTTTCTCAAAACAAAACATTTGAGTCACACTAAATCATGTCCAAAGCAACTATTACTTCACACATGGTTTGCTAATTTATTCTTAATTAGCTTTAATCCCTTTTTCTTAGCAACAGGGTGGCGCTAATAAAAGAGTGACGGATAGCAGTCATTAGTAATAATCAAATTTAAAACATGGCCATTGAACATCATCTGATCATTATGTGAATTAGCTGTACATGTTCATTTGAGTGGTGTAAGCCAGAGTGACAACTAATATCTGAAAATGAGGAAGCAGGCAGAAATGCATGCTTCACTGGGTGTTTCCTGTTACCTGCCTAAGCCACTAAGGCACTTAACCATAAGACCAGGTATTTCACCATGTGACTGGTGTTTACCTGTTTACCACAACTAAAGGGTGGGGAATAAATCGATTTCGTCTACATAACTGTGGCAATATTACATTTTCTGACTGAATTAAAACTGTTATTTAGAACTGAATTTTAGACAAATACAGTGAGCCATAGCACATGACTTCTTTATAATAGAATATAAGTGTTTTTATATTCACTGATTATTAGCTGCACCTTGAAATGTGGTGGGCGGTGGAAGGCTTCCTACTAATTGCAATTTTCCAGCTATTATATTATGTTATTGATGCTTTTAATTTGCATTTAATGTTTTAATCTAAATTGCATTTTAATATTTTATTTATCTGTGTGCATTGTGCTAAGCACTTTGAATTGCCTTTGTGTATGAAAATGTGCTATCTAAATAAACTCGCCTTGCACCAATGTCTGGCATCGATGTCCTGGGCTGGAGGTAAATAAAGAGAGCAGCCAAAGTTAGCTGAAGAAAGCATTATGTGTGCCCCAGCCTGCCCACCCCATCCAAATTTTTCTAGATCTTCCTCTGTAAGCTTTGTAAGCTGCTAAAAAAAATGTGTCATAAAAACGATTAGTTAGATTTCTGAGTATATCATAACAAACAAGGATAAAACAAAGCGCGTGAATCATATCTTTCGGTGTCAGCACCTTTATTGTTTTCAGATACCTCTGATCTGTCTGGCTTTTGTGAGGACTGTGGTCACAATGAGACACCGCTCACATCTTAGGACAAAAATTGTAGCCCACTTACAGCTGATTGGATGTCCAAGGGACAAAAGTATCTTTAAATAGGACAGATAGAGAACCACTGCAATTCTGTGTTAGACACAACGCTTGGCTGCTAACATAAGTTGAGCTTAAAACCCTTAGATATAAAGTAAGTTTTTTTCCTGGAGGGTCGGCTAATTATTTTAAATAATGCATGCTATGTGAAATTACTGCAGCAGCTGATTATAACCCTTTGCTTCTTTCTTTTTTTTTTATCCTACAAAGGACTGTAGCTCACAGTATGACAGCTCTGAACCTGCTGGTGATTTTGTGCTTCGCAGTACTCTGCTCTTCTGCCCCTGTAAGTATCTCAAACCAACACTAACAAAAATCTTTAAATCCATCTGAGTCACATGCTATTTAATTGTTGAGGTCATTGAATTCTTTTCAGCGCCTAGTGCACTTGCATGGCACGTGTTCAATTGAGTTTTTTAATGTGAAATACAATCATTTATGTTTGAAGGTGTCTGAGGAGAAAACACGAGTCAAACGCTCAGAGAGTGATGAGGTCAGTATTTGAAGATGTGCTGTCACCTACTGTCAAAACTAATCACATATATTAAAGTATTCACCTCTGTATGCCATCAGCTTTTGTTTTCATTGTTTGCTTTTCCAGTACCAGTACAACATGCAGCCACCAATCCAGCCATATGTGCAGCTGCCAATCCAGCCGTACATGCAGCCTCAGATCCAACCAGTTCCTATCCCAATGCCATACCCAGGGCCTTTTAATTCCCCTTATTTCATGCCTCCTATTTCTCCCTTAGGCTTTCCACCAGTCATCCCTCTTATTGGAAAATGAAACAAGCATTTCACTGACTGGGATAAACCTGCCTGTAGTGCAAACTTATTCTAAAAATGGTCCACTTGAAATATCAGAAATAATAAATAAAATAATATGTGACTATGTAATTGAGTTTGATGGATATTCTTTAACTTCAGAGTCTTTTGAATATGATAAAGAATTTCACTGTGAAAACAGACTTTACACTAATACCAGCTGTCTGGGCTGGAGGGGAAGTTGGAAAACTAAATGGTAGCATGTCCATTTATGGTGAGTTTACAGTTGATGACTAACAAAAACTACTAAATCATTTTCAGATTAAAACTTTAAACATGAGGTATTTTGAATCTTAATTAACGGTCTTACTTCCACAGATAGTTTTCAGTGACAACTTAAAAGAAGCTTGTCCCTTCTAGTACTAGTCTTGTACAAACTTTACAATTTTTGTTCATTTAAATACAACAGTACTTACACTTCTCTTGAGTTTTGCTGCACTGTCACTTGACACAAGACTTACTGCTAAAAATTGTTAATAGTTACTAAGCTCTCTATGAAATAAAATAAAATGAGGCAAGGCTGACTTACTGTATTTTAGTTATCAGCCCATATAATAGAAGTATCTATTAATTGATTGCAATATTGTTAGTATAATCACATTTAATAAAAAAAGCTTTGTTGGTTGTTGAAAAATCAACAACTGTGTCCCAATACTTTTTTAAATAAAACATCAAAACAAAACACGATGAAGAGTAGATGGACAAAGTCAACCAGTGACGTAGAGTGGCACAGACCTTTTACATTTCAAATGAGCAATTTATTATTATTATTATTGTTATTTTTACCAAGAAGCATTCTCAAACATAAAGTTGTGTACAGAACATGAATCATATCTAACAAACACCTCTTCACTGTTTCCTAACAACAGTAAGATTACTTCTAAGTCTAGACA